CGATCGGTGCGAATGACTTTCACTGCGCTGTCTCAAATTGGCGTTTTTAAGATACAGTCTACTTTCATTATGGTTTGCCGGTTTGAAATCCGGCGTATTTAGGCTAATTATTTTGCTGTTGTCCGGACCCTTTGGGAGGCTGAGCCGAGTTTCCAGTCCTTTCGTGATCTCGATGTGGGTAATTCCATTTCTGTCTGTCCTTTGCAGGAGGTTGAATTTGGTGTTGGCCGAGCTGTAGGTTTTCTGATTGGTGATCGCCTTAAACGTGCTGAAGTTGGAGTAGAAGGTCTTAAGGGCCGTCAGATTTTCAAATTTGAACACTAGAGCGTCGCATTTGATCACAAACACTAGGAGGTGGGGGAATTTGATGTCCGTGTAGCACACGCAGTTGACTAGACTATGACTTTCGGTCGTGGGGGTGGCGGGTAAAGGGGATGGTTTTGCGATTACCGGTTCGGTGTCCGAATCAGAACTTGCGGAACCGTTCGCGCTATCAGTCTCTTGAATTTTTAGTTCGCGCACGTTTCCCGAGGTAAAACTGTCATCACTGGAAACTAGCGAAACTGTGTCGATGTCCGATTCGAATCCTTCGTCCGTTGCTAATTTGGGGTCGGTCACCGGCCGAGAGGATATCAGTTCGAGGTCCAGTTGAGTTGAGTTGATCCGCAAGTCGTATTGAGCAAATGGGGGGAGTCTTCGCTGGGACCTCTCAACTATGGAGGTTAGGGAGGATGTCGCCGGTTCCCTTAGAAGTAGCGTTGCCGGTGGCATAGTTGAAGTTCATTATCTACAAAAAGAAGGATGCTTATAAAAGCGGCGACATTTACACAATCGAGGTCGGTCGATATTTGCATAGCAATTTGCTGGTATTACAAAATGAGGTAAAAAGGTTGTCTCACACTACTTGTTCATGTAGGTACTGTATGTACCTGTGAACTATGCGTGTTACATGTAGATGTAAACAAGCCGATATTACGTGACACTTCCGTGTAAAGTTTCAAATTCTGAGTCACAAGAACAGTCATGCACGGAATGAGAAAAAAACTGCATATCCACGTACAGGTAGGTATAGTGCAGTTTTGTGAAAGCAACCAAGAATCATATTTACACCGTGAAATCCTAGCCGAACGCTACAAATACCTTATAAGTTATGTAGGTATATACGATAACGGTGCCAATCATGTCGCTATAATTTCACTCATCAACCATTGACTTGATTACCATTAGCGGTCCTCCCCACACTTTCACTACCATCAAAATGATCGCTTGAGCGATCTAAAGTGGTCAATTAATGTATACGCCAATCGAATTATACGACGTGTTACAGGACCAACAGCAAATGACCGCAATTTAAGTTAAGTTATGCGAATAAATAATTTCACGAGAATCAGACTTTCCCGTAGCAAAAAGCTTGTTGCGATCATAATTCCTAGACACCCAACGACATCAACTCACCTGCCTGTAACAGCGGGGCTGAATTGAAGATGTGGAAAATGTCGACGACGGAGAAGCTGAAAGGAGCCAAGGAAGGGAAATCCGCGCGGGATCCGAACAAGTCAAAAGCGTCGAAGAAGCAAAAGAGTTTGAAAGCTCCATAAGAAGCAGAAAGTAGTAATATAAGGTCGATAATAACTCAAGAAGGCACTAGAAAAAGTCACTAGACGCGAAAAAGTCACTAGAAAAGTAACTAGGTTTGGGACTCTGCTAGGGGGCTCGTAATATGTTGTCGATTCACGATTCTATAACTCAAAAAGTCACTTTTTCGAACGGACTTCTCAATCAAAAGTTATTGACTAGAAACCAATTTCGAAAGAAAATTCAAAGGGCTGTAACTTTTGAACTAGTAGCCCAATCTTGGAACTGTTTGAAATTATGGATTCTACAGGCCAC